GGGGACGTGGCTGTTATTAGAGCGGTCCTCTTCCATCTACCTAGATTTGTATGTTCTTCAGATAATTCAGCTCCTGGGCTCTGATGTCCTGTGTGACTCTTCCAGACTTCCACGTGTGTTGGGTTTTCTAGGGACTTCATCTATTTTGACAAATTAATTAATGAATTTGATTTTGGCCGTTTCACACATCCTGACCATCCACCTTGGACAGAGTGTACACTCACATGCACACACATGTTCCGACACAAGCACATGCAGTGTGAGGCTTCACTCTGGGGCTCCTCAGCTCCTCCCTGTGGAGAGACCTGGTTCCTGGGACCCCATGTTTCTTTTCCATTTCTCCCTCACCCACATGAAGCCCATGCAACCAGTCCATTTCCAAGGAACGGGCTGGAGAGGTGGAGCTCACTGAGACCTCGTGTGTCCGGCGTGTTCTCACCTGCCTGCAGTTCTTGGTGGGAAGCTGACCTTGCGGGGCGCGGCTGCTGTTAGCCGGCAGCTTGCTCACCTAGACCAGGTGGCTCTGACTCCTACCCCCACTCCCGGCCCTGCTTTTCTTGTGCCACCTCCTGTCTCGCCTGCTGGACCCGCACTGTGACCCCTCAGACCGGGTGTCTGTTTTTATCCACTGGTGCAGCTCCAGCCTGGAAACTCATGACCTGCACTTCCGAAATTATTTCTTTAAAGTTTCCTCCCTCCTTTTCTCCTTTCTTTCCAGAATTCACAGAAAGAAAGTCTCCAGTTTTGGTCTCTTGGATTGTATTGTGCTTAGTCATTTCTTATCTTCTCTCCCCTAGTTTTATTCTTTGTTTTTTTCTCTATACCCTGTGAACTGTTGGTGAATCCTTCATTTATGTTCCCCTGTTACAAAAATCAAAATCTTTTTGTTTTTTGAGTTACAGCATCTTTACTGACTGCCGTGTTTTCTCTCATTCATTCTGTAAGATCAGCACTATTTTCCTTAGTTGTTTTTTAATGTTTTCATTTTCTCCCGCACAGGCTGTTCATTGAGTTCTTATCTTTTTCTCTCTGTCATGTTAGAAGTCTTCCTCAGCTACCCGACGGGCTTGATTATCTGTTCATACTTACAGTGGGTGACTCAGAAGCACCCCAAGAGTAATGAACGTGTGGCTTGACTCTGTCCTAGGGTCCCTGTCTGGGCATTTGCCTTAGAGAACCCAAGACCCAGTATCTTTGGGTTTGTGCTGCAGGCTGTTCTGAAGGGTCTTGTAATTTCCCACCCCTCGTGGCCACCGCTGGTCTGTTCCCACTGCAGTAGCTCTGTTCCTGGCTGTCCGTGTCACTCTCTGCTGCCAGGGTGACCAACACAAACTGTCTCTTAGCACTTGGGAGCAGGGAGCATAGATGGGGGGCGTGTTAAGCTCCCCGTTTCCTAAGCCGAGATTGGGGTCTGCAGAGCCTGTTGCTGCCCTGCCCATCATCTCTTCTGCTTCTGAAAGTTTGATTCTATTTTCTCCTCCTCTGATCTCATTGAGTTAGTATGGTGTGTGTGTGTGTGTGTGTGTGTGTGTGTGTGTGTGTGTGAGTGATTGGGGGGTGGAACCCAGCGCCTTTGCACTGACCTATATCATCAGTACCCCACTTTTTTTTTTTTGCGTGTATAATTTTTTGGTACATGATTACAAATGTGTATCACCAAACCTGGCCTTAGATTTACACACAATTTGTAAAACGTCCTTGCCATCATTTAGGTAGAACTTCAAGAGAAAGCAAAATGTTTGCGTCTGTGTAACCCACAGTCTGTAATCGGATCTTTGTGGACAGCATTTATAATGACAAGGAGCCTTTGTCGTCGTCACCTGTGTCACAGGTTTTCCGTGTGTGAGAAATGAGATCTCAGTGAGCCGCAGTTGGTGCCCCTGAGGCCGCAGATCCGCCCCGATCAGTGCTGTGTCTCTGAGATCATCTGTGACCTTTTGAGTTATTTGTATTTCTGCATGGATTTAGCTCTTCCTGGCTGTTGGATTTGAGGGATTGCTGCCTCGGCCTGACCTCAGGTCTCAAGACACTTAACCTCTAATTTGGTGATTGGGGGTTCGTTATATGCAGCTGCCTCTCAGCAGTATGTGTGTCACTCAGACTCAGTTTTGCCCTTTAGCATCTGCCTCTTGCATGAAGCAGCTTGGCTTTTTCAGAGCTGGTTTTCTTCAGATTGTCCTGGGAGGGAGCCATACATAGATTCAGTCTGGGTGCAGTGTAATCTTAACATAGTGTTAACATAGTGTAACATAGTGTTAGGGCCTGACCACGCCCCCACAGATGTCGGGGGGCCTCACCTGTGGCATGGCTGTACCGAGACTGAATTTCTAAGTAGATAAAGTTGTGAGGACGAGTCCCTGATCTCTTAGGACTGGTGTCTACATAGTGAGAGATCCTAGGGTGGCACATGCCCAGGACTCTGTGAGAGGCAGAGGCAGGGGATAGCGTGCTGGAGCTCGGCTCTGCAATTTAGTGATTTAGCAAGACCTTGTCTCAAAATGAAAAAGAAAAGGTCTTGGAATGTAGGTCAGTGCAAAGGCCCTGGTTTCAGTCTCAAGTGCTGAAAAAACACACACAAACATATCCCAGCCAGCAAATTCGTCTGCCCGCTTCCAAACCAAGCAAACACTGGAGAGGAGCAGGCAGCCGAAGCCAGCAAAGGGTCTGTACCAGGAGTCTTTCGCCTTCCTGTCCTTGAAGAAGCCTGGACCTGGTGCTTTGCAGCAGCAGCCCCAGCTGACAGGAAGCCTGATCTGTGATGCAGTGGTGTGGTATTCTTAGGCAGTGCTGCTGTCAGCCTTGAGCTTCAGACTGGCGTAAGTGTGCAGCGGTGGCTGTGCGGTCACACTGTGCGGTCAGGCTGTGCGGTGCCCTAGTCCCGCCCGCAGCTGGGGCCACACACAGACCCCTCCCTCCAGGCTCTACTGTTCAGTGACCTCTCGGCAGCCTGGCTGGGCTGTCTTTGGCCTCCATAAGTGCCCATGGTGGGAACAATGGAAGGCTCTCTGGGGCCTGGTCTCGCTGACACGCATGTCAGTGATGCGCCTCTTCCTGGGACACGTCAGAGTCACCCTCTGTCCGGAGCGTGGTGTCACATATGTCTGACGTGGCCTCCCGTCCTGTCCCTCAGGATGTCAGGGACAGGGCGGATGTTCACCTCGCAGGCCCTCTTGCCCTGTTCAGAAGTGAGGAGGAGGGGCAACCTCTGCGTGTTCCAAGTGGAGGCACAGTGGGCAGCTAGACTTCACTTAGCCGGGGCATGGGGTGCACAGTCACCCAGGACTGGGACGGTGTGCTGCTGGGGTCCAGCTCCACACAGGAAGGTCCTGTGCAGGGGCTCTGTCATGGTGCTGGAACAAAGGACAAGGAGACCTGAGGCGTAGTCGGTGTGGATCACATAGAGGGAATGAACAGCACAGGGAGGTGACGGGGAGACAGCAAGCTCAGCGTGGGGAGCACAGCTGCAGTCCTGGCACTCTGGGAGGCCGAGGCAGGAGGATCTTAAGTCTGAGCCAAGCCTGGCTAACTTCGCACCTTTGTAAGATCCTGTCTCAAAATTGTAAAAGGTTGAGGATGTAGCTCAGTGCAAAGGCCCTGGGCTCAGTCTCCAGCACTACATAAATAAAAGGAGGGTTGCGGGGAGGACCGCTCGAGAAGAGCCTGCAGACACAGGTCTGGTGTGCAGCTGTGTTTCTGGGCAGGGTTTCTGTAGTGTACACATACTCTCAGCTCCTCTGATGGGCTGGGAGAAAGGAAGTCCAGACTGAGATCAGAACGATTGAAGACTTCCTGAGTCCCAGTGAGGCCACTGGTGGCAGAAACTCTGCTTGCGAAGAGTGAATGGATCTGGCTGTTTGGAGGTGAGGGCCTGGGAAGGGGGCTCCTTCGGCTATGCGGCTGCTTTCACAGTGGTGCGGGACATTCGAGCGGTCAGCATGGGCAGGGAGATGACAGTGTGACCTCACACCACAGCTAGCAGTGTTCGCAGAGTCCTCAGGCACCATCTCAAGGAATGGTGTCACTAGAAGAAAATGTCTCAAAACTCATATCTGGCTAATTATGCATTTATTTGGCATCTCCCCTCAAAGCGCGCAGCTGCTGGATGAAAAGCCAGATGCTATTTAAATTCAGCATATCTTACTTCTCTGAACCCAGGCACCTAGGTGTTTTCACTATGCTTTTAGGTTGGAACAGGAAACTGTTGCTTGTCTTGGTTCGTAGAGTTGGCCAGATTTCTTTTTTTCTCTCTTTAAGACAGTGGTACAAAAAGTCCGTGTCTGTTTATAAGTCAGGTGTCAGCGTATTAGATATACATTCACCCCGGCGGATGCCAACCTTTTACAGGTGCTGTGAATTGAAAGCCCTCACAGCTCAGCAAGGCTTTCTTGCAGAGCTGCCTCAGTTTCCTTCATTCCAGGTCATTACTGTACAGTGATTTTGGAGAAGCAATTTTCTTGAGAGTACAAATTGGATTATCCCTCTTTATTGAATTGAAATTCTTAACAAGGCTTTCTACTAATGAGATGTTGTATGCACATTAGTCTGGAAAGGCTAGTTGGAGTCCATTTAGTTAGCGTTTCGGAATTAGAAGTCATTGATTAAAGCTTTACTAATAACTCATGCTGAGTTCAGTAATAGAAGGCTTCTACAGAGGCTTCTGACACAATCATGAAACTCTATCATGTGAGCAATGGTGACACAGGACTCGGAGTTGGCTGGGCCATTGCTGCATGGTCGAGCTCCCTGCCAGGGCCACTGCTGGCCCTCCACCCCCAGGAAGCATTTCTCCAGCGCTGGGACTTCAGGGGCAGCGACAGGAAACCCTCACCGCTCCAGCTCTGGGCTTTTGGTAGGAAACTATCCTTGGGATGTGTAGAAGCTTTTACTTTAAGCAAGGAAAAAGAACCAGGCTCTCCTGTGTGTGTGTGTGTGTGTGTGTGTGTGTGTGTTTGTTTTCCCCTATATTTTTCCTTCTAGCCTGACAAGTTTTTTCTTTTCAGTTCAAGATTGATGGAGAATGGTGGACGTGGATTGATTACAACCGCTTCCAGGAGCTCATCCAGGAATACGAAGATAGTGGTGGATCCAGAAGTTTCTGTGCAGAGAATTACATGGCCCGAACTCCTCATTGGGCCTTGTTTGGTGCCAGCGAAAGAGGCTTTGATCCCAAGGACACGAGACATCAGAGGAAGAGCAGATCAAAAAACATTGCTGGATGTTGAGCTGGTCTGACGTCATCATGTAAAGGACGAAGAGGAGGGACCCAGGAGGTCATTGGATTCCCATGACTTCCAAGGACAAACCCTGCCACATAGATGTCATGCAGTTAAGATGCAAGTCATGTCACAGGACTGGAGAGACTGCATCCACACTCTGAGTGCCTAGACTTGGCCCAGCATTTCTTACCAGAACTCAGGCCACTTCTGGATTTTATTTCTGAGAGGACCATCATTTTGTGGGGGAGAAGACAGTCATGAGCAGAACATAATTAATACTTTTTTGAGTCATAGTTTAGGAAGATTTCCTAAAACACTATTCATGAGTGTTGTATGAAGAATAAACAGCCCTGCCTCTTCCTCCTTCTGGGCTCTTGGTTTTTTGTTAAGCTGCCACTTGGCGTGGGGCTGTGCCTTCCTTAGCTACTATATCAGAATGCCACCCCTTCCTGATGCCTTTACACGATACTCCAGGAAATATTTTAAGTTGTCACAGTTTTCAAGTTTCTTAAATACTGCACCAACTGCTTTAAAGTTTTGCCTTTTACTAACTGTGTGGGAAATTGTTTTGGACATTGCACTGTACTGGATTCCTCCAATCCCATACATATTATACGGGCAGGATCAGAGTAGAAGCTCTGTGTCAGAGAAATCAACTTGTGATGACAGCAATTCCCAGCCTCAGCAGCACCCTCCGCAGTGAGGAGGCCGCGCCAGGCCTGGAGGCCGCCGTTGGCCTCGCCTCACAGCAGGCCGCCATCTTTGTTCCCTCCCGTGACCCTTGCTGCTCGACACAACCTGGTCTTTAAATTTCAGATTGTTTCTAGTTAAAAACATCATGCTTAATAGTTTTATTTCAGTTGTCAAAGTTATTTTAAAATTCTTTTATCCAAAAAATTAATGAAAGTCTTTCATAAAGACTTGACATATGAATATTCTTTTACATGCTTAAGATCTCTCTGGTCACATAGTTCTGAGCCCCAGCAGACCCGCCCTTTCATGTTGCACTGTTTTATCAGAGCTTCTGTTCTATAGTGAACTAAAATCCACAGATGATATCATGTACACCTACCCACTTAGTTGAACACTGAGTGCCATATTTCGTTTTTAAGTGGAAGACGGTGACTACAGGAAAATCCTGTCTTTGTGTTTACATCACTTTCAGGATTTCACTTCTGACACTGGATGTGGCATGCGGGGTCCCACGTGATCAGTGACAGTTCAGTCCAGTTCCATTGCTGCTGTGGCCGTGTCTAGATGTCTCCCCAAAGCCTCATGCAGTCGGAGGTGGTGTTGGGTCTAGAATGTGTGGTGCTGGGATGAACTCTGGTGCAGTGCTAGGCTCAAGGGCACAGGATTAAGGGGGAGTGCTACCCATCCTGAGTGGCCTGGACAAGCCATAAGGGACAGAACTGTTATCTTTGCTTTCCTTATTTTGCTACTTCTGCCTGCATGGACTGTTACTCCTCTCTCTGTGGTGCCCCTCTGCCGTGTGATCCTGCCTTGGAACCAGCCCGTAATGGACTGAAACCTCTACAAACTGTGAGCTAAATAAACCTCTCCTCCTTTTAACTTTGGGTGTTGAGTATTTTGTTTCAGCAGGGCGAAAAGTAAACTGCTCTGCCACATAGTAGCCCGGATTATCCATAACCTCTACTCCACTCCTCTCTAGGTCGGAGATTCCCACCACTCACTTCTTGGGTTTGTAATTTGCTGCCAGGGCTCGTGGGACCCAGGGTAACAGAACACTTCCTATTGCTGAGGTACAAAGAACATTTCACAGGATGCAAAAAGCATGAACAGATCCATATAGGGCCCCAAGTGCAGGAGCTTCTGTCCCTGTAGTGCTGGGGTGCATCCCCCTTTTGATACATGGATACGCTCACCATCTGAAACTATCTGAACCCCATAGTGGAGGAATTTTTACGGAGGCTTCATTGCATGGGCATAATTAGTCTCCCAGGGCCTTTGCCAGGAGCCCAGCGAGACCAAGCCTCTCTGCGACAGAAGGGGGATCCATGCCCTGATGTTCAGCTGACCAGGAGCTGCGCATCAGGAACTGGGAAGATGTAAGAGTGAGCACTCCCTGAGCACTCTAGAAATTACTATGGTCCTAGGAGTTTTGAGCCAGGACACAGGACAGAGACTAAATAATTTTCATTATGTCACTTTGGGGATCATGACAGAGTATCACAGAAATTCTGCCTTTTTCAAGTCCAGTGCATCATCAAGCTCTGTGTAGTCTCCTGTCCTCACACCAGAGTGAGGTTACCAAGGGCAATGAGACAGCATTGCACTGTTAGTGGTTGCTGAAGAGTGATGAGAAACACCTTCAGTCTAGTGGCACAGGCCTGTAATCCCAGCAGTCGGGGAGGCTGAGGCAGGATGCTCTTAAATTCAGTCCCAGGCTGGGAAACTTAGTGACCTGTCTCAAAAAAAAGAGGGTTTGAGATGCAAATTAATGCAGGTTAATCCCATGTGTGCCCTGGGATCAGTTCCCAGTACTAGAGAACACACTGTCAAGTAAAATGAAGTGTTAAAAAGCCAGCGTTCATGCCAAGGGACCCACAGGTGGGGAGCCAGGCGGCCAGGGAGCAAGGTGAAAGGCCAGGCACGCAGGGCAGGGGGCCAGTGCTCGACCCCATCAGCCAGGCTCAGTTTATTGTGAATTGGGGTCTTGTTTAAGATTTAACTTGAAGGGAGCTATTTTGTTACTTCAAATGATAAAAACAGAAAACCCCTCACAGAGTGAGTGAGTCTCTGAGCCCATTAGCTTTAGGTACATAAAGGAATGTTCTTTCATGCCAGAACATATTGATCTGCTGCCTCCTATTAAAAAATAAATAAATAGCATGGCACATTAATCCCAGCTCACAGTCACAGCAGAAAATGTAAGATGCCTTAGGGAAAAAGCCAAGGACTCTATGCAGGGAAATAAGTTTGCTGGAGAATATAAAAGAATGAAAACACTAGGCATGCTTAGAAGGTGACCTATTTACAAAATGTCCTCATTTTCAGTGAAGTTTATTTTTTGGTGTTTAAGCTAATTGAAGAATTAGCTAAATAGGTGGGGATAGTTAAGAAATTTTTTAAAACATCTATGACAGAAAAGTTGCTTTGTGAGATATTAAACTTGTTACCCAAGGAATGAAAATGATACGAGATTCGTTTCCAAGGCGACAGGGTGGGGATCTTAGTGCAGCTTGCTCCGTCCCGAAAATGAGCAGATTTATGAGCAAAACCAATAAAACCATCCAGTCTGAGAATTCTGAAAATCAACCAAGGTTTCTCTAAAACTGCAAATCATCCCCATAAAAAGAAAGTACTGATTCTTCAAATTAACAATTGATTTCACCAGAAGCCTTGAAGGCCAGAAGATAGTCGGGTAGAATAGACAGCCAAGCTCGACCCTTCTTCAGGAATAAAGGGGACTTGACGATATGGGCCGATCAACAGGAAGCAAGGGCATTTGAGCACTAACAGAACTGCCAGAAGAAAGACCAGTGACCTTCGGGCTTTCAGGAAAGGACTCTAGGCTTCAGCGTGAACCCATCTGAAGAATACAGAGTGCTGGTGAGTGTAACTGTGTCTAGGTTATGAAAGACTATCGATATTTTTATTTGTAATATTTGCTTTTGTTTTAAAAGACAATTGCCTATACTGATACAACTAGATTGATTTTCACTTAATAAAGTTATTTTATTTATTTTTAAAAAGGAGGCCAGGACTGTGGCTCGGTGGTAGAGCACAGGCCTTGCACGCTTGATGTCCTGGATTCAGTTCCTGCATGGTAAAAAAAATAAAAGAATATTTAAAAAACTGCATTGATGGACTAATAATGTGTGTTATTTGTGTGATCATAATTGCATAAAGGCGGGGCAGGAAGTGAATTCATGAAGTAAAATGCACTCACTGTATGAGAACAACTGTTGCCCACCACTATTGAAAGCGAGCTGATACAAATAGATTGTGTGCAGATACTAATCGGAATCCTCAGGACAACCACTGCGCGAATACATTTTAAAAGGCAGTAAAAGATACAAGGTAGTGAAACATATACTAGAAATATTTAACACAAAAGAGCAGCAAAAATGGAGAAGACGTAGGCATAAGTCACTATAAAGAGAAGTGGCAGATGTAAATCCTACCTTAGAGGTAAATACTATTTTTTTAGATAACTTATTGTGTCTAAAAAGACAGAAATGGCAGAATGGGCTAAAGTAATAAAAATGGACTAAACTAATAATCCGACTGTGTGATATCTATAAGAGAGCTTTACATGCAAAGGCAAAGAGAAGTAAAAGGATAATTAAAGCTATGCCACACACACAGTCCCCAAAAGAGAAGTGGGGTGGCTCTACTGACACATAAGAAAACAGACTGTAAGAAAAAATTTTTGCTCAGACCAGTCCGCAGTGGTAAGAGGGCCTGTTTAGGAGAATGAGGTGAGTTCCGAGACAGAAAAGCTGAAGTCTTTAACTAAAAAAAAAACCCCTGGCAGTTTATGGGATGAAGACAATTAAGCAGTTAACAGTCTGGTACTTCTGCGCCCCATTTCTAATAATAGGAGCGCCCGTCAGAAGATGGATGGGGAGGTAGGCTGCAGCAGCACTGTAAGGAGGCCCTGCTGGCCCGCAGAGGCCCGCAGCCCAGCGCCTTGCTACCCAGCGGCGTGACGGGCTCTCCGGAGAGCTCAGCCCGAGTCAGGCCGTGAAATCAGTCTCCGCAGACCCGAAAAGACTGGAGTCGTGCAGAATATATTACGGTCCTAGCAGAAGGGAATTAGAAATGAGCCACGGGGAAAAAATGGAGACATTCACAAATACGGAGGATCTAACCAAGATTCTAAATAGCCAAAGGGTCAGAGAAATCACAAGACAAATAGACAGGAAGGAAAACAAACACCCAGCATGCCGAAACAGAAATTTTGGCACTGCAGCTCGTAGAGGGGCATTTAGGGTGGCAAATACTTCCACTGAAAAGAACACGTGTGATGAGAAGAGGAATTAAGACATGCACATGAACCAACTCCACACAAAGCACGTAAACATAACATACTGCAAACAAGCAGTAATAAAAATAAATAAAAAGAACGCATATCTCAAGGCAGCAGCCTGACCTTCCACCTTAAGAAGCTAGAAAAAAAAGCACAAACTAAACCCAGAGCAAACAGAAGAAAGTAATAAACATTAGCATGGAAATAAATGGAATACGAAAGAAAAAAATTTTAAAAAATCACTGAAATCAAAAGTTGGCTCTTTAAAAACTTCAACAAGCAGTCATGGTGGTATATAGCCTATAATCCCAGCACTCTGGGAGGCTGAGGCAGGAAGATCACAAATTCAAGCACAGCCTGGGCAATTTAGGGAGACCCTCTCAAAGCTGGGGAAGAGTGGCTGGGTATCTAACTCAGTGTGAAAGCCCTGGGATCAATCCCCAGTACCAAAAACAAAAAACAACAACAATAACAAAAACCAACTTCCACAAAACCAGCCAACCTTTAGCTAGTCACCGAGAAAAAAAGATACCAGACATCTAAAATTAGATATGAGCGTGCAACTCTGATGTTTGTACAATTAATGCACTAAACCCACTGAATTACCTGATTTAAATGGGCACATTTTATGGTATGTGAAATATATCTCAATAAAATTTTTCTTTATGTAACACTGAGGATTGAACCCAGAGCTTTTGCACATAGCTACATCCCTATCCCTTTTTAAGTTTTTGAGATGGTTTCATGGGTTGCTAAACTGCCAACAAATTTGCAGTCCTCCTGCCTTGGCCTCCAGCATGCCAGGATTATAGGAATGTGCCACCATACCCAGCTCTATAAAGTTATTTTTTTAAAAGTATTTTTTAAAAAGTATTTTTTAAAAGCAGAGGGGCAAACCTGGATGTTCATAGCACTTAAAGGAAGCCTCCTAAAGCAGCTGCTAGACACCTACTGGGTATCTGCACTACATTCCTATAGGGTTAGATGGGAAGGAAACACTGCAGGAAGCGTAGGTGAGGCGTCCTCTCCTGTGACGAGGACCCACAGCTCTCAGTAGGAGCTTAGGAAAACGTAAGTTGCTGGGCCCGTCCCGTCTGCAGCCTAGTCCTGCTGTTGAGCAGGGTTTGTGTCCCCAGCAGGCTCCTGGGGGACACTAATGCTCCAGCCCAGGGTCCACAATCAGTCACCTGCAGACCTCAAAATGATGAAAGAACTCACCTGGGAAAAGCTAGACAATTTTGCAAACATGCTAACATAGCTAAAGTATCAAATATCACCTAAAGAAACAGAAATTGGGAAAAATAATTTGCATGAGATGTGATAGACAAATCTTTACACTTGGGGCAAATTGTCACTTGACAAGCTCATACAGTTCCATTAAGACTGGTGAAATGGCCGAGGACACAGGACCTGCAGAGTTCCCGGTGAGGATGGGTGCGTGGCCACAGATGTGCAGGGCAAATCCCTTTCTGCATAGCGTGGCTGGCAGCCAAATGTCCCCGGAGCCTCACTGTGCAGAGGGCTCTGGCTGGCTCCTGGGACTAAGGAACTGGATGGATTCTGAGAGCTCAGACTT